TTGTCCGAAGGGTCAGTATGTGTTACCTTCAGTTTCTGGGTGCCACCGCGTGGTGCCACAGCTAACTGCATCCATCACTGCAGCAGGCACAGGAAGCGGGTGCAGGCAGCCTCTCCCATGCATGCCTGGCAGCCTCAAACCACCAGCGCTTTGAGGCTGCAGAGGCAGGGAGCGGGGGTGGCAGCCCAAAGCCATGGTCGCTGGCTTTGTGCCCTGGGAAACTCCGAGATGTCCTTCCTAACTCTGCTTTACTCTCTTTTTGCTCTTCAGGCTGGGACAGGGTGAAATGGCAGCTTCTTCCTCGTCCTCTTCAGCCGGTGGAGTCAGCGGCAGTTCTGTAACAGGATCGGGGTTCAGCGTTTCGGACCTGGCGCCACCCCGAAAAGCCGTCTTCACTTATCCCAAAGGAGCCGGGGAGATGCTGGAAGGTGATTGCTCCTGCCTTTCTCCTTTCCCACTTCTCCTGGTGCACAGGCAGCCCTGAAAGGGAGCTGTTGAGCTTGGCACCCTGCTGTCCTTTCAGACATTAGCTGTCAAAAGCTGGAGGGAGGAAGGAAGCACCAGGGCTTGGGTAGGTCCTGAGCAGCTTCAGCTCTCCCACCAGTTGTTCATGAGGAAGTGATTCTTCTGCCAGTCACCTGGTTTTTTTAGCTCCACTTCAGAAGACAAGGAGGAGATCTACCTGAAAGGGAAGATGACAGTGTTAATTGCTCATTGTTAGCTAATCCTTTGAAGTCAGGCAGGAATTACTGTAAAGACAGCTGAGGCAGGAGTATTTTTCTTGGCAAAATGCGTTCTGGGGTTGGATTTGACTGGGCTAGTCCAGGAGGCAGCTTGTATCCCTGCTGTCCAGGAAACGCAAGGCTTGCGTTTGCCCTTGACCTGAGTTAAAACCTCGCTGCAGAGGTCTGCGAGAGGATGTGATTTGGACTAGACCTCTCTCTCAATCTTTTGAGGCTGAGCACATTCCTCTTTTGGGCTCTCTTTTGTCAGGGCATTTCTCCAGGGCTGCCTGGAGAGGGTCAGGGCTCCAATCCAGCGCAGTGTCTCACATTTGGGTGCCTGAGCCCTGCCACCCGCTTCGCCAGGGTTGCAGACCCAGGCACGTCACAGCTGCACGTCCCTGCCCCTCCTCTGGGTGAGGGAGGAAGGGCAGGTCCTCTGGATGACAGGGTTAAGGCAAGGTCTGTCTGTCTCTCTGTTCCTCTTGAACTTCCCATGCGTAAGCCTGAAGTTCATGGGGTGGCCCCGCAGCTCAGAAGCAACTGTCTTCTGGTAGAGATGGACACGGCAGCGCCGGGCAGCTGGGAACTGAGCACTACGTCATTTAAGGACTGTTTTTATTACACATTAGAGCCCATATGCCAGTCTATTGAAGTAATTATGACTAAAGGCTTGCTCATAGAACTTAACAAGCCCTCAAAACAAATTAAAGGAATGAAGAACTTCATGTTACCAAATAGACAGATGGCTGTTCCTCCTGAGAGCCACTCGGCAGGACGGCTGGGCTGGGGAGTCGGAGTAGAGGGGAGGGGATGTTTGGAAATAGCACAGTGCAGCATCAACATGGCATTTCAACAGCTTGCCAGGGGATGCTCTGAGCATGGCAGAACTCCCAACTCTTACCTGGGGTTCAGCTTCAGATGAGATTTGCCAGGGCCAGGGGTGTGTTTCTACGCTTAGTCTTTAAAATTGCTTCTCCCCTCGTTTTTATGGCATGGAGCTTTTAATTGATTTTTGCTTTGGGCAGACCTGTTTACCAGTAACACCATTCGGCAGTTCGTCTGCTCTGGGTGGCAGCAACAACTAAACACTCTCCCTGTTGCAGGAAGCTGTAGGTTGGCTTTTTCATTTCTGGATAAAAGGCGATAAACCCATTCTTTCATCAGGCAGGTACTAGTGGGGTAACTATGTACCAGTTTCCTCTTCAAAAATCCCCACTAACTGACTGATTTTCATTGTTACTTGAACAATCTCACTTGTTTTAAAATAAATGCTTACATATTCTGGATTTTTTTAGAAGGAAGTAGTATAGACTCTGTCAGTACTTGGCACACAATTAGCTACGTATTCCAGATTGCTTGATTTCTGAGACAGTTGTGTGACCAATTACCAACTTAGATGGCAAGATACACACATTATTTGAAATCCTTTATGTGGGGTTATGGTCTACGCCTGTGGGGAATGATAAAACATTAGAAGGACACAAGCGTCTGAGCCCCAAGGGAATCGGAGACTGCTGTAATATTAGCTGGCTTCTCCTTAGCTTACCTTCTATTTAAAATGGACTGGAGTTGCTGACAGAGGGATTGTAACAGAATATCGGCTGGGATGGCTTCCAGGTAGCATAGCCCTTCCCCAGCCAAAGGCCTGCACAGAATTTGAGTGGGGGGTCATGCAGTCACATGCTCGGTGCGGGGAAAGCGTCAAAATGACACAAGTAGGGAAACCCACACCTCAAACATAAAATAGACGGTCAGTGGCACTCAGTTAAGGCTGCTCAGCCCTAAAACTCTCAGATTAAAACACCTCCCTTTTTCTATTTACAGATGGCTCCGAAAGATTCCTCTGTGAGTCTGTTTTCAGCTATCAGGTTGCATCTACGTTAAAGCAAGTGAAACATGGTAAGCACTGAAGTGCCATCTATTTTAACTGCGTGTTGATTGGGGAAAATGGGCAGGGGAGCGCAGAGAAAAGGCTGACATGTTCTCCGGTGCCAACCACAAAAAAAAAAAGCAGAATAGCCTTTAAGCTGGCGAAGAACCACTAAGTCGGACCATCCCAGAGTCCTTGTGCAAGCCCTATGCAAAGTGAAGGGAACCCACACAGCCTGGGCAGGAACAGACTGTGCCTTTCGAAGCTTGTTTTTCCATCGCTGTGTGTGCTGGCACTGCCTTCACAAGAGGCGAGGCCAGAAGAGTAGGTTATGGGCAGGAAACACCCACGCTCTGATCTTGGCCATGTGCTGACTGTCTCTTTGGCCTCAGGCAAAGAAACACTTGATTCCACCTTTGTTTCTTCGGGGAGCCCTTGTGACACCACACCGGCAGGGTCAAGCCAGGTTTCCAAAGGTGCTTGGGAGCCGGACAGGCAGATGCCTGATGTGGCATGATGGGCCTGACTCCACTCCCTGCCTCCTTTGTGTCTTTTTGTTTGAGCTTTTGCTTCCCTCCTGGGGCCTTTGCCTGCTGCCCAGGTGCCTGTAACCGAACGATGGGCTTGACTGCACGGCAGCTTTTGTTCTCAAGATGTTGGGCAGAGCTCAGCACCAGCTCAAGGCTCACATCCTTTCTGGTCCCCACCTCCTGTCAGCTAGAATGGGTACTTCCACATGTTGTCTCAGACCGGCGAGGTTTCCTGTCCTCCGCCGGTGAGGGTTGCCAGGAGAAGGTCTGGGGATGTGCAGCAGCTTGCAAGGCCATGATCCTGCATTTCTGAACCAAAAAAGCAAAGCCCAACTTCAGAGCCGTTGTTCCCACAGCTCCAGCACTACCGCGGAGTAAGCTACCGGGGGCTGCTGCACAGACTGGAACCCTGATAAGCACCAGCCTTTGAAACTGGTTTGTGGAGCACTGGTTGCCTCCCTGTAAGGAAGGGGAAAGGCTTAAAAAAAAAAAAAAGATCGAGGTCATAATTTTTTGGCTTGTTTGACAGTTTCCCAAAAGCGCTCGTTTGCAGGAGGTGGAGTGAGAACAGTCCCTCTTAAAAGCACCCACTGTTGCAGTCAGCATAAATCACGTATGTTTTATATTACGCCTCTTCCTAGTAAGCTGGCTCGTACTGGGCTGTTTTTCCAAGAGGCTGCTGCCCTCTTAAACTTCCAGCAGAGCCAAGAGAAGGGCTGTTTTTGTCTCTCTGCCACTGCAGCTCATTTAATTGAAAATGGAGCCTGGGTGCCCAACGCACAGCTGCTTTTAAATAAAGCTGAGAGGATCAAATCATCTTGGGCATCCCCAGGGAGGCAGCCCTTCTCTCTGTGGGGACCTTTGTGTCACTAGCGTGTTCTGATTGCAGAGCATTTCTGCTGCAGTCATCCGGGTCCTCCTCAAAGACCCATCGTTAAAATGAGGAGTTCCTCGTGCTGCACCCATCTCTACCGTGAGCTGAGTAAGCTCCCTCTGAACTTGTCTGTTCTTTTTGCACTATAAATATTTATGCTAAAGAAATGAGCTTCATCCTGTTTTCACCTCCTTATGCTAATCGGCTTCATGTTTCCCTGTTAGGACTCGATTTTCCATGGCACAGGTAGGGATGGGGTAAATACACATTCAGCGCTGGACGAGGCAGAAAAAGCCCGTCCCCACTCTCTCCTGTGATCTGGGTAGGTCTCGCCGTTTACGCAGGGTGTCGT